TTTTGAAAGTTTTGACAGAATGTAGTTTGTAAGTCGTTTCATATCGTAAACTCCTGAGTATTGACGTAAGTGGTGTTTGTCAATAATTCTTTCCATCCTCAGAAGTCTTTTGCATTCCTGACTGTATAAATTCAACGATGGCATAATATTTCCTCTTACGTCGAATGTAACGTTGAAGAAATTCAATGAGTTCACTGTCTGGAACTTTAACGACAGAGGCTTGAACTTTTGACATAAATGTTTTCGCTGTTGAGTCCATAGAGTCTGAAGTTGCTGATATAATGATTTGGTCATAATATGAGTCATTTCCTAAACGTTCTGTTATGAGTATATGACGAATGAGGTTAAATGTCTTACCTGAACCCATCTTTCCACAATAGAAATAACACCATTTGAACAGAACTCATAATCTTACTGAAAGGAAGAATAAGAGAAGAGTTAAGTTTGTCTGTAGTTTCATTCATGTCTTCATCTACGTCATGTATTAAATGCTTCATTTTATCTCCATTAAAAATGCAAGTCAGAAATATTCAGAACATAGCACCGAGTCTAACTGACAAGAGTATAAAGATATACTATGAACACGTTATGATGAAACCTACCAAAATTCAAGAAAGTCAGTATACTTATGAATATCCAAGACACTGGGTAGAGTATGTAGGAGGTGAGAAAGCTATTGAAATCAGACAGGTTCGAAGTATTCCAGCAGGAAGAACAATATTATTGAAGAACTTTAATGTTTTGAGATATAATGATGAAACAAAGAAGCAAGATAGTTTCCCTGTTGCTGTGTATGTGAACTTAGATACAGGAGATGACATGAAAGTTTTTAATACAAAGCTTCAAACGGTAGTGAGAGAACAACTGACTGCGGAAGGACATCCATTACCTTCAGAAGTTACCATAGCATATAATTTTGAAACAAACTCAATAGATTTTAAAGTCATCTCTGCAAAGAAGTCAGGTTTTACATTTAATGAAGCAGATGTATATTCGAATGAAAACTTCAAAGCTATTGCATGGTTAGATAATGACGATTGCTTTAAGAAAATATTTAAATACAGTGACTCAACGATGTCAATAGATGACCTTCGTGGAATGTTACCATCGACGTTTACAGTAGAAGGTCAGAGGATTGCTTACAAGATTGTCAATTGGTGGTATTTGGTCTCGTGAGAACATTGTTATAAAATCCAGTATAAGTGAATTTGCTGAAGAATCTATATTATGTCTTTCAAACTACATGTATTCGCCGCCGAAGCATTATAGTATAAACAAACTTTGTCAGTAAGTTTAACATAAGACTTGTCGAACCTTCTTCAATGAAAGATGTTGTGCTACCTAAAGATGGAAAGGATGGACTCATTATTGAGATGATTTTAATTGCATATTAAATGAGCTTGTTCTTGAAAGTCATTCATGATGAAATAACTGTTGTAGAAGATGTTAGCAATTGTTCAGACATTTTGAAGCGTATAGATGATATAAGAAATAAGTTAGATAGACCGCAAAGCGGTGAGAACGCTTATGTTTCATTGACTTTCTCCAGTAACGAGAACTTTTATGAGATAATATTGAAGAGAGATGATTTTAATATGATGTAAATGGTAGCTTGGACAGCTTTAGGCGCAATGGAACAAAGCATTAGCATTTGGAGCAAAAGCACTTGGAGCTTATGACGCAGTAAATAAAATGAGTGGAGAAGGGTTTCGAAGACATTAGATGCAAATAAAGGAAGATTGGAGGCTGGGTTGCAAAGAAGTTAAGATTAAATAAAATAGGGCTCATAAATAAAGCATCCAATTTGGTTGCGACTGAGTCAGAAAATGCTTTAGGAAAGGACGATGAGTTTGCAAAACACGCAAAAGACTTTAATGACCAGATGAAAGGTGAAACAATGCATTTAAATAGAGTCGATGGAACTAAAGAAAATGTTTCTTCTCCACTAGTAGTTCTTCCGTATGGTCCCTATGGAATGTATGGAAACCCTTACGAAAGACCATTTGACCCATGACTGGTGGAAGTAACTGGTATCATTACGGACGAAGAAGAAAGACAGTCAAGTTGGAGACAGACGTGAAGAAAGCAACTAAAAAGAAACCAAGGAAGAGAGTTATAAAGCAATGAATTCAACAGGGTGAAAAACAGGTGAAAAAAGAGGTGAGATCTCACCACTTCACCTAAATTTATTTTTGTGCTATGTTTTCATACGTGTGAGGGTGGTGATATCATTAATTTTTATATAAATGTGGGAACAAAAATAAAGCATATCTACTCAACAGGGATGAGACCCTTACTGACTATGTATTCGTTTAATGCTTGATGAAAACAATGGTACATATTATCGTATGGGTATACACGGCGTCTGTTTCCATCGTCGTCGTATATGTAGAGCTCAAATCCAGTCCAACCTTCTTTTGTACAATATGTAGCTTTATTTAAGTATGCATTTATGTAGATAAGGCAATTTTCTTCATCGCTCCAGAAATAATTTTTGTTCTTTGTTGAAAGAGTTTTCGTTCCTCTGCGACCATAAGGAATGTATGCAATAAATTTAGCATCATATGGGATTGTAATATATTCAGGGTTTCTTTCATCGCCAATGGGTCTGTCTTTGTTAAAATGCATGTTTCTCAGTTTTACTTGAGTTTTGAATAGTTCACGGAAACGTTCTGGGAAAGAGTCATAGTAAATGTAGTCGGACATGTCTTTGTAATGAAATAAAAAATTAAAAAAAAATAAAAATAAGGTTATTTTTATTTAGTGAGGACGGTAGTGAAGTCGTTAGTGAAGTCGTTAGTGAAGTCGTTAGTGAAGTCGTTTATGTGTCAGACGGTTTTGTAAATATTTAAGGTTAAGTTGGTGTTATGGTTGTGTTGTAAAATATACGTTACCGGTTTCGTAAAGTGTCAAAACCGCTAAGTGGTGTACGGAGGCGCGCAGTGCCACACTACGCAACTTAGGGATACTAACTTAAATTTCTATAATAACATCATCAATTCTGAGATTTTTTCGATCAGGAAAATAGTCATGTTTGAGTGTTCTAAAATGAGCTTCGGCAATATTGTTAGTTGCGTCGCCTTCACGCCTGTCACGAGCAATCCATCTTGATATGTTGTAACGCCATTGTCTGTTAAAGTATTGAGATGCTGTTGGATCTGTGTCGAGCAACTCCAGAACTTGATCATAGGCAGCATTTGCTTCTTCCTCATGTTCTGCATCTAATTTGAAGACTAAATCCTTCATCAAATTATAGAATTGTTCAAATTTTTCTTGAGAAGAAAACTTATTTGATTTGCGAAGAAATTGCACGAAGAACATGTACTCCGCACTAAAGTATTTGAGCTTGTGGAATGCTTTCTTCTATTGCTTGAGCTATCTGTGGAGCACAGCCCATGCTAATGTATTCTGGCTCAATTGTTACCCATCTGAGATAGGCCCACACGCAAACTTGAATGTTTTGATAGTGTCTGGTTGACAAAAGAAATATAAAAAAGGGAAAATGTGAAAATCTTTGATTTTGCCAGTAAATGCATACAATGGAATGTTTGATCGCAACAATTTATAGGTGCTGTCTATATGAAATGTCTTGATACTATGCGCATAAGCTTTGCCTTCAAAAGGCGCGTAATAGAAACACATATTATTGTCTGAGACTTCAAATGCAATGAGATCATCTGGAGATTCTTCTTGTACTGTCTGAACAAAGATTTGCAATGACACAACATCGTCAGGAGAATATCTAGTTTGAAGAGCATGTATTCTCTCTGCAAATCGTTTGATTGCACGTGGTTTTTGAGCGTACATCTCTGGAATGGACGGACCCGTAAGAGGAATTTCAAGATCTTTGAATGCATTTAGCTGTGCTATCGCTCTTTGATTGTCATCTGTTTGGAAGTAATGTTCTAAATATTTGCGATAAACGACAGACGAATATTGACTTTTGTCATTTGGGGCGGAATGATCATGTTCTTCAACTATTTTGATTAGTTTGTATTTATTTTGATCCAAGATTGCAACATTAAAATGTGCAGGACATTTTGGATATTTGCAGTGGAATGAAATCTGAGATCTTTCTTTCCTGACACGTTCACCATATCCATACTGTGCTTGTATTTCTTGTTTAACTCCAAATTTACAAAGATCCATAACAGTAAAGATAGTTTCTTCTTCTAATTCCATTTGAAATTGAAATGAAAATTAAAAATTCAGAAATTTGAATAGATTTGTCTGTAATTAAATGAGAATAGCAGTTTGTTCGTCATTGTTTGAGGCAAGAGTATTATAGGAATATTATATGATGGATTTGAGTTGCATATAAAGAGTGCAAAAGGATAAAGAGAGAAATTTTGTTAGATTAAATTATTAAATTTTAATTCTTTATTTTTAGGATTGTTAGCTTGTAAGATTGCTTTCTCACAAGAGAAAACAAGTATAAGGTTTAAGCTGTATGTATTAAAGTTATAAATATTTGATTTTAAAAAAAATCAAATTTTAAACTTTAAAGGTATTAATTATGATTATCTTTCTTTAGCTTTACATGCTGTATGCTACTTTTGGAAACTGCTCTATTGTATTAGAATGTTTTTAAATTTTGACCTAAAAATGCGTAATATTAAAAATTAAGGTATTAATTATGATTATCTTTCTTTAGCTTTACATGCTGTATGCTACTTTTGGAAACTGCTCTATTGTATTAGAATGTTTTTAAATTTTGCACCTAAAAATGCGTAATATTAAAAATTAAGGTATTAATTATGATTATCTTTCTTTAGCTTTACATGCTGTATGCTACTTTTGTCTTTGAGACATTCCATGATTTAAGTTAAGAAGCTTTAAAAAAAATGCAAAAAAAAAATTGAATACTTTACTGGCTGGGCAAATAAAAAAAATGTCGCCGCCCCATCTCTATAAACACATTAATAAATTTATTGGATTTTTATGTTTTTATAGTTTACACTTTTTCTTTTGAATTCAACGTAAATTGTAAATAAAAATCAATGTTTCATCTTTTCGTCTTATTTGTTAGCTCTCGAAATATCACAATTTCGAAGCGGGGTCAAACATCAAAATATACTATCTATTATCCTAAAACAGAACGCGGCCAACAACCATGGTGGCGTACAGCAGCACGCGAGATGCAAGCAGGAATCAAAAACATCACCGGTGAAGTTATTCCAATGATCACGGACGACAACAAACTCGAAGGCAAAGGCATTTTTATTGGTCCTACTAAGTATTCTAAAGAAATGACAACTTTACGTTTTACAGATTTAGGTCTTGATGCATATGAGATCCGATTTGTTGGTGACGAACATCTTATTATCAACGGTGGTTCACGTGGTACTATTTATGGTGTCTATGAACTTTTAGAACAATATGCTAAATTTCGTTTTTACACTACATGGATGGAAATCTATCCATCTGCTGAAGAATTCAATGTTGATTCTGAAATAAACATCAGTGATGTTGCCGCTTTCCAACTTCGTCAAATGTGGAGTACAGATACAACACTCAACTTTTACCACGGCATCCGTAAACGATCTAATGCTGGAGATCAAGGTTTAGGAGATGATTATGGTGGATTCAGATGGTCTACATTTGGAGTTCACACTTTTTGGGCTCAAATGCCAATAAAAGAATATCCACCTGAAAAATATCCTAACATGTGGGCTGTGTTACCAAATGGAGAACGATCTAGAAGTGCTCCTTGTCTCTCAAATCAAGAAGCGTTTGATGTGATTCTTGCCAATATCCTTAAAGAAGTTGCTAAAGATAATACATCATCATTTATCGAAGTTGGACATAACGATGATTTTGATCATTGTCATTGCGATGACTGTAATGCTAAGAAAGCCAAGTACGGTGATAGATTCTCAGGGGTTATGCTGGATTTCGTGAATCGTTTGGCGGATCAAATAAAACCAAAATATCCAAATCACATTATCAAAATGCTTGCATATTATATGACAGAGGATCCTCCATTTAATATTGTCGGAAGAGATAATGTTGGTATTAAATTATGCCCACTCGGAAATGATATTGGTCGTCCAGTTAATGAATCCAAAGATCCATATACAATGAAATTCACAGAAAAACTAGTAAATTGGTCGAAAGTTGTCAAACATATTCAAATTTATGAATATTACACGAATTTCAATTATCCAATGCATATAACTCCTAACCACCTCATGATTGGAAAGAACTTACAGTATTACGCTCAATTCCATGTCGATGGTTTCATTGGCGAAGATACAATGGGCTGGCTGAAAAACCCCACGAGAATTATCCAACACACTCATATGACATATCTCAGGCAGTATATTGAGTCTAAAATGTTGTTTTATCCTGAAAGGTCTCTTCGATATTACGAAGATGATTTCCTTTATGGATTCTACGGTGCAGCAGCCGCAGCTTATGTTAGAAGATACTTAGACGCATCTACAGAACTTGTTTATTTCAGGCCTGATGCAATGGTTAACTGTCTTGGAGGTCCAATATCGAGACCACAGAGCGATAATTTCAATTACTATGCGAGATATCTATGGAGTGAAGCCGTAAAAGCTGCAATGACAACTGGAACAGAAAAACAAATATTTAATACATTAATGGGAGAAATACCAGCAATGAACACAGTTTATACCATGGAGAAAGGAAAATCATGGCCATTAATTGTTGACTCCAAAGGAAGAGTCAGATGCAAAGGTGCACAATTTGAAGAAATTGCAACAAAAATTTTGGATAGGTGCCACAATATATCATATGTTGATCCTTACACAAAAGGAACATGTGCAATCATCAGATTCCTTGATACAGAAGGCCCAGCTGTTTATGCAGATTATAAGTTGTACAGTGAAGGTGTTCCAGCAATCATTCTTAAATCAGGTAAACTAAAAGCAATTTCAGGTGAAGAACCAGCATATGGAAAAGTTTTCTCTTTTACCAAGAATGGAGAAGAATACATTGATAATGTCGAATGTTTAGATTTCTGTATGTTCCGTACATTCAAGATCACCGGTCACATCAACTACAACATGAAACTTATTAAAAACACAGACACATATGCCCATTTCAAATATGATCCATCAGACTATACACTTGAGAAAACATATACATTAAATGATGACAAATTAACAATCAATGTTAAGTATCGATACAAAGGATGTAATACATGTGGTGATTTCAAAGGACGTCCAACATTGTCAGTTCCTCTTGACTTAGGTGACAGCAAAGATGTTTTCTACAAGTTAGGTGATGGTCCATGGGTTCGTCCAAAATTTGATGTTGTTGCTACATTTGTTAATCACTTTGGTCATAATCTTAATGGCGAAAAATCATTCTCCATCTGCAATGGTCGAACTCGGAAAGGTATGCGATTTGAATTCACACAATCTAATGTCAACTACTTCTCATGCTGCTTAAACAAATCATCCAAATTCATCAAAGTATACACAGGTCAATCATATCTTCACATGAGAGTCGGTGAAACATATGAAACATCTATTTCGTTGTCTCCTCTTGAAAATGTTCTTGATTTACCACAGATTGATATGCCAAACTTAGACACAGGAGACAAAACAATCCATTATTATCCAATGTATTATATCAATGACATTGCATTCCCTAATGGTGGAGTCAATCAACATATTCCAGTTGTTGATGATCTTTCATTTGTTGGTATTTCGTCATATGTCAAAACAGGATTACCAGACAAAGGAAGTATGCTTTCAATGTGTGTAGGAAGAAACATTCCTTGGGTCTACGGAATGCATGGTGGATGCTTCACATTGCGAATGAGAGTCCGATGTTCAGAACGATCTGGAGATGGATATCCTTGGTGGATTGGATATACAAAGCCTAATGTTAGCGATTGGTACACAGGAAGTTCTAAATCACAAATTCCTGCCGAAGATAATTACTTTTTCATTGATTACAAACAAGAACAAGACGCTCATCCTCTTACAGGAATGTGGTTACAAGCTACTGCTATTTGTGGAAGTATGTATGTTGAAGGATTCTATCTAGATCAAGACACAAGTTGGCCAATAACATTCAATTATCCATACATAAACTACACCCATAATGACAATCTTAAACCAATGAAAGAACCAGTGATGAAAGAATATACAACCGATCAGAGGACAAAAATCACACCAATTCCATACGAACCAAATAATTCCCACAAAGTCGGTTTGATTATTGGCTTATGCATCTTAGCAATTACCATCATTTCAGGTATTGTTGTTGGTGTTTACTTCATCCACAAGAAACGATCCGAAAACAAATCTGACACCGAAAACGACCGAACTCCAACCATGAAATCAATCATTGTTTAAGAAATTTCACCTTAATTTCATTTTATAATTATTTATCTGGTATCTCCCACTTGTTACACACTCAGTATTTCATTCTAAAAAGCGGATTCTTGTATTGTTATTTTTTTGATTTTTAAATTCTGAATTTTTGTAAAGTATTGAATTTATTTTATTGTTCGTAAATGTCAATTCATCATTTTTTAGTTGAAATTTTCATTATGATTAACAGGCTAATAGCATCATATCTGATGTATCAACTCCGATTTAAAATATGATTAACTTTGGATCTGACATCATTACAATTTTAAAATACTCAGAATCAATTATACACTAATAAATTTATAAAAATTTCTTGATTTGAAATTTTGAATTCAACGTAAATTGTAAATTAAAATCAATGTTTCATCTTTTCGTCTTATTTGTTAGCTCTCGAAATATCACAATTTCGAAGCGGGGTCAAACATCAAAATATACTATCTATTATCCTAAAACAGAACGCGGCCAACAACCATGGTGGCGTACAGCAGCACGCGAGATGCAAGCAGGAATCAAAAACATCACCGGTGAAGTTATTCCAATGATCACGGACGACAACAAACTCGAAGGCAAAGGCATTTTTATTGGTCCTACTAAATATTCTAAAGAAATGACAACTTTACGTTTTACAGATTTAGGTCTTGATGCATATGAGATCCGATTTGTTGGTGACGAACATCTTATTATCAACGGTGGTTCACGTGGTACTATTTATGGTGTTTATGAACTTTTAGAACAATATGCTAAATTTCGCTTTTACACTACATGGATGGAAATCTATCCGTCAGCTGATGAATTCAATGTCGACTCCGAAGTTAACATCAGTGACGTTGCCGCATATCAATATCGCCATATTTGGGCCACAGATACAATACTCAACTTTTACCACAACATCCGTAAACGTGCCAATGCTGGAGATCAAGGCTTAGGAGTTGATTACAGAGGTTTCTTATGGGCTACATTTGGAACTCATACATTCTGGGCTCAAATGCCTGTCGAAGAATATCCTGTAGATCAATTCCCAGAAATGTGGTCATTGCAACCAGATGGAAAAAGATCTACTATTGCACCTTGTCTTTCAAATCAAAAAGCGTTTGATGCAATTCTTTATCATATCATCAAAGCTGTTGATGAAGATAATACTTCATCATTTATTGAAGTTGGTCATAACGATGATTACGTATATTGTCATTGCCCTGATTGTTCTGCAAAGCAAGAAAAATACGGAGGAAGATACTCTGGAGTTATGCTAGATTTTGTTAATAGACTGTCTGATGCTCTTAAGCCTAAATATCCGAACCATATTATCAAAATGCTTGCTTACTACATGACAAAAGACGCTCCATTTAATATTGTTGGAAGAGACAACGTTGCAATTAAATTATGTCCAATAGGAAATGATATCGGACATGCTGTTAATGAATCAACAGATGCTTATACAATAAAATCTATGCAAAATATAATTAATTGGTCGAAAGTTGTGAAACATATTCAACTATATGAATATTACACTAATTTCAATTATCCAATGCACATCACTCCAAATCATGAAATGATTGGAAAGAATTTGCAATTCTACACCAAATATTATATTGATGGATATATGGGTGAAGATACAATGGGATGGTTAAGAAATCCCACAAGAAGAGTCCAGCATACACATATGACATATTATAGACAATACATCCAATCGAAAATGATGTTTTATCCTGATCGTCCACTTCGTTATTATGAAAATGATTTCCTCTATGGGTTCTACGGGGCAGAAGCAGCAGCATATATTAGGAGATATTTAAATGTATCATCGGAACTTGTGCATTTCAGACCAGAGGTAAAGTTAAGCTGTCTTGGAGGCCCCATTTCTGATATTCAGAGCGATAATTTCAATTACTATGCAAGATGGCTCTGGGGTAAAGCTGTTGAAGGTGCAATACATTCAGGAACAGAAAAACAAATATTTAATACATTAATGGGAGAAATTCCAGCAATGAACACAGTTTATACCATGGAGAAAGGAAAATCATGGCCATTAATTGTTGACTCCAAAGGAAGAGTCAGATGCAAAGGTGCACAATTTGAAGAAATTGCAACAAAAATTTTAGACAGATGTCATAATTTATCATACGTTGATCCTAACTCAAATGGAATATGTGCAATTATAAGATTCCTAGATACGGATGGTCCTCCTATTTATGCAGATTATAAGTTGTACAGTGAAGGTGTTCCAGCAATAACTCTTAAATCAGGTAAACTAAAAGCAATCGCAGGTGAAGAACCAGCATATGGAAAAGTTTTCTCTTTTACCAAGAACGGAGAAGAATACATTGATAATGTCGAATGTTTAGATTTCTGCATGTTCCGTACATTCAAGATCACTGGTCACATCAACTACAACATGAAACTTATTAAAAACACAGACACATATGCCCATTTCAAATATGATCCATCAGACTATACACTTGAGAAAACATATACATTAAATGATGACAAATTAACAATCAATGTTAAGTATCGATACAAAGGATGTAATACATGTGGTGATTTCAAAGGACGTCCAACATTGTCAGTTCCTCTTGATTTAGGTGACAGCAAAGATGTTTTCTACAAGTTAGGTGATGGTCCATGGGTTCGTCCAAAATTTGATGTTGTTGCTACATTTGTTAATCACCTTGGTCATAATCTTAATGGCGAAAAATCATTCTCCATCTGCAATGGTCGAACTCGGAAAGGCATGCGATTTGAATTTGCTCCATCGAAAGTCAACTATTTCTCATGCTGCTTAAACAAATCATCCAAATTCATCAAAGTATACACAGGTCAATCATATCTTCACATGAGAGTCGGTGAAACATATGAAACATCTATTTCGTTGTCTCCTCTTGAAAATGTTCTTGATTTACCACATATTGATATGCCAAACTTAGACACAGGAGACAAAACAATCCATTATTATCCAATGTATTATATCAATGACATTGCATTCCCTAATGGTGGAGTCAATCAACATATTCCAGTTGTTGATAATCTTTCATTTGTTGGTATTTCGTCATATGTCAAAACAGGATTACCAGACAAAGGAAGTATGCTTTCATTTAGTGTTGGAAGGGATCTCCCATGGGTCTATGGAATGCATGGTGGATACTTCACATTGCGAATGAGAGTCCGATGTTCAGAACGATCCGGATATGATTATCCTTGGTGGATTGGATACACAACTCCATATCACGGAGAATGGTATACAGGTAGCTCAATGGAACAAATTCCTGAGAAAGATGAATATTTCTATATCGATTACAAACCAGAACCAGATGCTCATCCTCATACAAAACCATGGTTGCAGGCTCTAGCAGTATGCGGAAGTATGTATGTTGAGGGATATTATTTGGATCAAAACACAAGTTGGCCAGTTACTTTCAATTATCCATATCTGAATTACACATATAATGATAACTTAAAGCCAATGAAGGAACCTGTTTTGAGGGAATATCAACAGACGATGAAGAGAACACCAGCTCCATACGAACCATATAATTCACGAAATATCGGATTAATTGTAGGCTTAGTAATTGTAGGAATTGTTGTCATTGCAGGCATCATTGTTGCTGCTTTCTTTATATATAAGAAACTTTCTCAAAAGAATTCCGACATAGAAAATGATGAAACCCCAGACGCTAAAGAATCTGATGCTTAAAAATCATTAAATTTATCTTTGCTTTGGAATCTAATAAAACAATCACTATTATTCGGTACAAAATTCTGTTCTAATTTTTTTTATTTTCCTTAGTCTATTTCACTTGTTATTATATCAGCCAAGAGTATTATAACTTAACCATTCGTCGAGTTGAAAGATCATAGCCTATTCATTAATCTATTTACGACTGCTTAAGTGATAAATATTGATATTGATCTTCAATATTAAAGAAAATATGGGGATTTCTCCGAATTTATTATCCACTCAGGATTGTTTTTATCCTATCAATAGTTTAGTTTGACTCATAATATGTTAATTCATTAAATCTCATAACATAATTTAATGGTTTAAAAAGCAAGAATGAGTTGATCATTCCATGTCGTTATAGTTTGGATCATTTGCGATGAAAAAATTAAAAGAGGAATAAATTTATTTTTTAAACTTTTATTATAAAATATTCATATAAATAAATAAAAAAATATAGATAATATAAATATAATAATATATATAATGAACTTTATGCAACATCTTGTGCTTTTTGTTGCATTAACAATTTGGAAACTTCTCGTTTAACCAATCCGAAAATGAAAATTCCAGATTGTTTCACACCTTTAATAACCTGCTGACAAACTTGTGCAGGCTGTGTTCCATAGTAAGTCTGTCCATCGCATGTAACTGTGAAGATTGGAGCATCACCCATTCTCTCAATTCCGCACGTGTACCATGTTCCGTCATACAATCTCTTTGCAAGATATCCTGGGTTGTAGAAAAGATGTCTTGCAACAAAATTATGTCCACTTGCTGGTTGTCCAATTGAAATAAGAATGAAATCATTGTTCAATGTTACTTCGCTATCTGTTTTAGAAGTCAAAATGATCTGTTGCGCGACTTCTAAACGCTTCAAAGGAGTACTTAAGAACTCGAATCTTCCGAAATCAACATTTTTAATTGGTTTCCTCTTTTTCTCGAGTTTCGCTGCATCTTTGAATGGTTTGTATTCTTCCTGAAGAAGTTGTGATTGGAATCCGAAAGCAGGAGATGTTAAAATAGAGAAGATTGCAGTAGATCCGTATTTTGCAATTCCTCTTAAATAATTCAATGAATGTTTAGCAGTCCAAAACTCAGGAGCTTCTTTAGGAGGAGAAACAATTCTTGTCTGATCGAAATGTTGAATTTCTCCGAAAACTAAATTTGCTGTTACAACTAATTTGGCTGTTTCTTTGTCGCAATCAGTGATTTCTGCATTTTCTGATGTAACAGCGTTGTAACAATTTTTGATTAAAGCCAAAGTTTTCTCTTGAAGAGTTTCTTGTTTTATGTCTTTGATGTTGCAGAAAGATTTGAACTTCTCCCAATCGATTTCACCTGATTTATCTGTTGGAAGTCCTTTCTCTATCAAACAACTGATGATTCTTGGAATTATCTCTTTTGTTTCTGGATATTCATCGATTTCGTCATCTTCGTCTTCGAATTCTTCTTCGTCAAACTCTTCTTCATGTTCTTCTTTGGCTGATTCTTTTGCTGATTCTTGTTTTTCATCTTCTGTTGTTTCTTTTTCGGATTTGGCTTCTTTTTCTGATTCTGTAATTTCTTTTTCTTTTTCTTCTTGAGAAACTTCTTTTTCTGTTTCACTTTGTTTTTCTTCGTTGTCTTCTTCACTTGTTGTTGGTGGTGATGTATTGTTTCCATCTCCTTTTTCAAGTTCATCAACATTTATTACATCATCATCACTACTTGCAGAACTTTCCTTTGTTTCTTCACTTCTAACACTTTCATCAATTTTAGTTTCATTTTCATTCTTTTTCTCAACTAAATTTTCTTCCTCTTTCTCTTCTTCCTTCTTTTCAACAAGATTTTCTTCTTCTACTTCATCTTCTTGTTTTTGTTCTTCTTTCTTCTCTTCTTCAATCTTTTCTTCCTTTTGTTTTTCTTCTTTCTTTTCTTCCTTTTGCTCTTCTTGTTTTTCTACAAGATTTTCTTCTTCTGTTTCTTCTTTCTTTTCTTCAACTTTTTCAGTTTCTTCTTCTTTAACTTCTTCTTTGATTTCTTCTTTCTGTTTTTCTTCTTCGTGATCACTTGGAATTGGAACTGATTCAGCTTCTTTTTCTTCTGCAATTTCTTCGTGAGTTTCTTCTTCCTTTACTTGCTCCTTTTCTGTTTCTTTTTCTTCCTCAACTTCTTGTTTTTCTGGTTCTTCTTTTTCTTGTTTCTCTGTTTCCTTTTCTTCCTTTTCACTTTGTTTTTCTTCTTCAACTTTCTTTTCTTCTTGAACTTCTTCGTTCTTTATTTCTTTCTCTTCTTCGACTTTTTCTTCTTCAACTTTCTTTTCTTCTTTAATTTCTTTTTCTTCTTTTTCACTTTCTTTTTCTTGTTTAGAATCAGGTTTGTTTTCTTTCTTTTGTTTCTCTTCTTTAGAAATCTTTGTTTGTTTTTCTTCTTTCTTTGGTTTATCCTTTGATTTCTTTGAAGATTTTTCTTTCTTGGAAACAGTTGTTTTTACTTCTGGAACGTAACTTGAAACTTTCTTTCCTTTGTTTGATTTCTTCTTTGGTTCCTGAGCTTTCATTTCTTCGAAAGGAAGTGGCATGAAATCCTTTGGAACAAAGATCGCTTTCTTTTTCGGATAAATTTCTCTGCAAAGTTCAACAATTTCTTTAACTTTTTCTCTGTAATCATCGCATCCTTTCTTGAATATATCAATTAACAAATTGTAGTTTGCTCCATTATCATCGAACTTATACAAATTACTATCTTCGGACAGCTTAAACAATGCCATTCTAACTTTTTCCATCAAAATAATTGAGTTACAAATTTTTTCTGGTTCAAATTCTTTCAGAACTCTTTTGACAGTTTCTTCTGAGAATCTGTTGACAGTGCATTTCTTTATAAACTCTCTTGCAGCACCTCCACCATGTGTATGTGTTTTAGAAACACCGTCAAAACAATATCTGGCAATTTGACACTCCAAAATGTCAGAAAAATCACATCCTTTTTTGAGAAGTTTATTGACTGATTCTTTGATAACTTCTGTAGTTCTGTCGAGTGATTCATGAGATATAGTCATTTGCAATGACTGCCAGAAGTTCTGTGGATCCATGATTTCTGTTGAAATGACACTTTTCATCTCATAAACATCAAAATCACTCAAATTTGTTTTCAAAAATTCAGTGAATGTCTGCTGATTCGATGACAAAAGAGCGAAAACAGACATTCGAAGTAGTTTCTCGGCAAGTGCTGCATCAATTGGTTCGGGAGCGATCCGACCAAGGAAGATGCTATCGTCGTAGAACGATAGATTTGCGAATTCAGGTCTAGAAAGGTATTCATCAAATGTTTGTGCGACGATACAACGATAGACCTTTATTTTATCGTCAACGTTAAACCGATAAGTATCATTATCGATTATGATGATTATATCGAAAAGTGAGACATCGATTTTTCTTGATCCGCCTTTGGAATTGAAAAGGATTATTTGGCTGGCCATTTTTTCATAGAAAACATCTTCTTTCATCAAAGCAGTGACAGCCTTGCAATTATTGATTCCCAAAGCGTTCAAGCCTTCTTCGAGGAGTTCAACAGCACCTGGCATTTGCGAGAAAACTAATATTCTCTTGTCAGGATTATCGTCAATTACTTTTTTGACAAAAGTGAATTTTCCTGACATGTTTACAATTGCTCTTGGTTCATCTACACTCTTTTGGCGCTGCATTTCAACGAGGAATGGATGAATGAGTGCTCTTCTTATGTTTGTGATTGTTTTCATGACATTTCTCTGTGTGTCTGATGCAATTCCAAATTGAGGAATAATAGTCGAAAAATCTCGCATTGATTGCTCGATCAATTCTTGTATTGTCTGGTGCTGTTGCTGGGAAATGGGAACAGAATAGTTCAATGCATGTGTGACCAGCGGTTTTGGTTCACTTTTCACCACAAAAATGTCATCTTCATCCGAAATGTACTTGGAAATGGAGTTGTCGTATGGATGTGCGCATACCAATGTGTAGTTCACGCACTTTATGGTGTTGACAACCCTTTGCAGTGAAGTTGGAGTGTATTTGGCGCCAATTGGGAAATCACAGACCATATATCTGAAATCGACATCTCCAATTTGGTTGGAAAACTTCTTGATATCGGCCATTCGAACGACCATCGCGTCAAATTGTACGGAATTTGGAATTTCGCGGCCATTTGAATCGCATGTTGAAAATTCTGTTTCGTCTATAAGGTCGCGACTGTCTTTATCGCTGTTGTAGACTGTACAATCGACGTTTGTAAAGTTCGTAAATGCGTCTAACCAAATATAAGAATCGGAATCTTGGCAAACGATGACTATTGGGCCACGCTGGTTCGAAGCGGTGAGAATACTCTCAACACCTGCTGCTACAGCGGCCGTTGATGTAATTGTGTCGATGGTTTGGATGAAAACGTTCTTATTATTGAAATATTTCTCTGAAATGAAATTTGCGACTTCGAGTTGTTCGTCTGTAAATATTGTTCCGTCTAAACCTTTCTTAGATTCGAGTTTTACGAAAGATTCCATTGTAGGATGGATAAATCTCGATGGTAATGTCTTTTTATTGCTGTTTTTAAGGCGGTTATCGTATTTGTCGAGAGCTCTATTGTTGCAAAGAACTGATTTGATGCCCCATGAAGCATCATTGTAAGTAAGACCACGCCATTTAGCGAGATACTCGTCATTGCCATCGTCTTTTGGTGCATCGTTGATAATACGTTCGATATTGTACCAAGCTGAGTCTAAATCTTGATCAAAAATTAATAAATCTGGATGGCAAAGAGATGGAATAGGACGCGATTTGTTTTGAAGTTCTTTGAAGGCTTGTAAGGCTGCTTTTCCATTTTCGACTTGAAGAATCTCTTTCTCGTCCATCCAAACACATGAATGGTAAGATTCTTCTTTGTAGTGAATATAGTACGGCTTATGATGCATTTTCGCTCTTACATGCTGTGGGTTTTGATATCCTGAGTAAAATCCGACGATTCTGTCAATTTCATATACGATTTCTTCTTCCTCTTCATCAACGGTTTGATCTTCTGATTCTATATTATTCTTTGCAGCTTTGTTGTTCTTTTCAACCTGCTTTTCATCCGCAGCCGAGTATTCGTATTCGTAATCATATTCAAAATCATCACTAGGAACGTAATCGTAATATTCTATGTCAAGATCTGCATCATTTAGCTTGGGCTGTTTTGGTTTCCGTCCACGTTTTTTAGGCTGCTGATCTTGGCCGGCGTTATTTTTCTTATTTGAATCTTCTTTTGATTTTCTTCCGTTTTTCTTATTATCAGATGATTTAGAATTGTTTTTATCTTCTAATGACTGTGATTTTGGCTTCCTTTGCCGTTTCTTTTTCTCATTAAGAAAATCAATCGATTTCGAATCTGATTTTTTATCTTTCCTAGTAGCACGGTTTCGTCTTTTATTCGGTCTATCTGAGTAATCTGATTCAGGATCTATGAATATTTCAGATCCTTCTGATGAACTCATTTCCGTCAGTAAAAAAATTGAAAATGACGATATTTGACACTTTTGCTGTATGAATAATTTCGATTTCAATTATCTTATTTGATCAGCCAACATATAGACAATAATTTTGTCCGTGATTTTTTGTCAAAATATCGAAGTTTCTTCATTTTTCAAATTTCATTTGCTTCAATTTCGTTTGTAATTAAGTCCAAAATACTGTTAGCGTTCAATAAGTGTATTCTTAATGTAATAATCGGCAGAATCTGGCATTTTCCCACAAAAATCGAAAAATTCACTTTTTGAGAGGCAACATAAAAGTCTTGAACTCATTTTTATGTATCTTTCTATATTTTCAACAAAGCAATAATTTAATTTCAAATTTTTCTTTTCATAAGAGCAATTTTCAATGTCTGGAATCCCTTCGGGCTTTACTGCTGGAGATTTCCAACAATGTGAAATTATAGGGCGTGGAAGCTTTGGAATTGTTTTCAAGGCAATTTATAAGAAAACAGGACAGACAGTCGCGATCAAAGAGATTGATCTCGAAAAAACAAGCGATGAACTTACAGAAATTCAGAGAGAAATCGATATGTTGAGAGTTTGCAAGAGCGAATATGTAGTAAGTTGCGAAGGAAGTACTTTAGTTGATTCAAAATTATGGATAGTAATGGAGTATATGGGAGGTGGATCAATACGCGACCTAATACAAATTAGAAAGATGCCAGAAAACACAATAGCAATCGTTTTAAAGCAAATTTTACTCGCATTAAACTTTTTACATAAAGGCCGCAAAATTCATCGCGATATCAAGGCAGCAAACATACTCCTTTCGAATGATGGTGATATAAAACTTGCAGATTTTGGAGTCGCATCAAGCCTTGAAGCCAGAACTAAAGCTTACACTTTTGTAGGGACGCCTTTCTGGATGGCGCCAGAAATTATTGCAGAAGAAGGCTACAATGAGAAATGCGATATTTGGAGCTTAGGAATTACCGCTATCGAAGTTGCAACTGGAATGCCGCCTTATCATGAATTATATCCACAGAGAGTTTTAATGCTTATACCACAGAATCCTCCGCCAACACTACAGGGCGATTTTAGTCCTCAATTCAAAGATTTTGTTTCGAAATGTTTAGTTAAAGATCCAACAAAACGACCTTCAGCCGCAGAACTCTTAACTCACCCATTTATAAAGAGTGCTAAGAAAAAGGACATACTTATTCAATATATTGAGAACGTAAGACCATTTAGAATGGCTGTTGAACCAGATTCTGAAGAAGATGAAGAAGAAAACGCTTCAGTTGTTGATGATAAGACAGAATGGAAATTTAGTAAGGTTTCATTAGCTTCACCTAATGGAATTCAAAGTTCAAATGTATATTTGGATATCCTTGAAAGCGCTCTTTTCTCATTGAGTCAGGATAAGAAATATGAATCTGTTATGAGCTCTGTAATGATGATCGGAGGGATTTTTGTTGATAGCACCGCTAAAAATCCTCAATTTTGCGAAAATTTTGTAAAATCAGTAGTTTCTGAATCCATGAAAGCTCAAAATGTTAATTAGTTTATGCATATTTTGTTTGTTGTTTGTTTTTTTAATAAATATTTCCATTAATGTAAATTTAATTGTTTTTGCAAACTGGTATTAAAGAAAATAAACACTTTTTGATGCCTTAGTATTGTTATATTACCATGAAAAAAAAAAAAAAAAAAAAAAAAAAAAGGGTAGTGGGGCTCCCAGGCACTTCGTGCCTTCTAGCCCTGAGGATGTTTTGTCAAGACTTCTTCGTAAATGTTTTGTCAAGACTTCTTCGTAAATGTTTTGTCAAGACTTCTTCATCGTAAATGTTTTGTCAAGACTTCTTCATCGTAAAATCAGACAAAAATATATTTTATGTTAGAATGTTAGATCTAACATGTTTTCTAACATGTTTTCTAACATCGTTGAAAACTCATGATTTCTTCGTAAATGTTTTGTCAAGACTTCTTCATCGTAAATGTTTTGTCAAGACTTCTTCATCGTAAAATCAGACAAAAATATATTTTATGTTAGAATGTTAGATCTAACATGTTTTCTAACATGTTTTCTAACATCGTTGAAAACTCATGATTTCATCGTAAAGACTTTGTCAAGACTTCTTCGTAAATGTTTTGTCAAGACTTCTTCATCGTAAAATCAGACAAAAATATATTTTATGTTAGAATGTTAGATCTAACATGTTTTCTAACATCGTTGAAAACTCATGATTTCATCGTAAAGACTTTGTCAAGACTTCTTCGTATATGTTTTGTCAAGACTTCTTCGTAAAATCAGACAAAAATATATTTTATGTTAGAATGTTAGATCTAACATGTTTTCTAACATGTTTTCTAACATCGTTGAAAACTCATGATTTCATCGTAAAGACTTTGTCAAGACTTCTTCGTATATGTTTTGTCAAGACTTCTTCATCGTAAAATCAGACAAAAATATATTTTATGTTAGAATGTTAGATCTAACATGTTTTCTAACATGTTTTCTAACATCGTTGAAAACTCATGATTTCATCGTAAATGTTTTGTCAAGACTTCTTCATCGTAAATGTTTTGTCAAGACTTTCTCATGAACTTTCTTGTCAATGTTTTGTTGAGACTTTGTAAAGTTCTTCATCGTAAAGACTTTGTCAAGAAAGTTCATGAAAATTCATGAGGTTAGAAAACATGTTAGAAAACATGTTAGATCTAACATTCTAACATAAACATTATTTTTATTGAATTCCGTATGAAATTTCATGAGTTTTGTATGTTTTAGACCATGTTAGAAAACATGTTAGAAAACATGTTAGATCTAACATTCTAACATAAAATATATTTTTGGGTCATTTACGCTCATTACGATGAAGAAGTCTTGACAAAACATTTATGAAGAAATCTCAACAAAGTCTTTACGAAGAAGTCACAACAAAACATCTGTCACTTTTCAGGGAAAAACATTTTTATTATTATATATAAATGAATTTTACAAAACCACCGTTACCCTTCTTTGGAAATAAGAGTAGATGTAAAGATATTCTATTGAGAGAACTTAAGAAACTACCGAATGGTCTAACATTTGTAGACTTGTTCGGTGGAAGTTTCTATATATCTCATTTGTGCCATACAATATTTCCTGACTCAAAGATTATATGCAATGACTTCGACAACTATATGAACCGTCTCAAACATATACCAGACACAAACAAAATATTGAAAGAGTTGAAAGAAAAGATACCTATAGGTAAGATGGAACGTATACCATTAGATAAGAAAAATACTGTCAGAGAGGTTTTGAAAAAGGCAGAGTATATTGACTGGGATAGTATATCTGCTAGACTATTATATAGTGGTGCTATAAGAGTTCATGACATTGAAACACTTATGTCAAAAGTTTTATATCTTAACTATACAAATGTTTTCAAAGAGGACATAGAAAAATATATTGAGGGTATAGAGTTTGTGAGATGTCATTGGACAGATTTGTATGAAAAATATAAAGACAAGGAAAATGTTTTCTTTATAGTAGACCCGCCGTTCTATAACACATGGGATTTTCAATACCAAGTAGACTGGACTTTGAGAGACTCTTTAGAAACTTTAGACGTTTTACATAACCATCCATGCTTTTACTTTACATCCGATAAAAGTGGTTTGGAAAGTGTCATGAGATGGTTAGAGGACATACATGACTATGAGTTTATATATGACAAGATAGAATATGAGAGAGGTCCTATAAACTGGAGAAAGTGTCACAATAAAGAAATTTTATTAGTAAGTAAATGTGGTTTGAAATAGGACTACTTGTTTTAGGTTTTTTCCATTGTGTCATTTACTTATTTGACGTGGCAGAAAAGTACAGAGAATATGAAGATGAACCAATGCCTGCAAATGTTCAGTATATGTACTCGTAAGAGATATTTTTATCTAATATTAAATGGACGCACAGAACTTAGCAAATGCACAGCAACCTGGACAACCAAACCCAGAGAATATTCCAAATGAAGTTAGAATACAAACTGCAATGGCAAACTATGGTCAAGTGCCAACAGATGTACAAATGCAAACTGCCATGTCAAATGACGCTGCGTTAGGCTTACCACCATGGTATGCAAATATGAGATGGAAAGAGTTTTATACAAACCCCGAAGTGGGATATAAACAACTCTATGCAGATGACGCGAACACAGGAGTTGACCCAGAATATGTTTTCTACCAGAGGAGAAACAGAATGTATGAGCTCCAGTTAAAGAATGCTATGGAACTCAACAGGAAACGTAAGAGACTAGGCGGACATTAGATTTTTACATATAGTAAATGGGTTTCTTTGGAAGAATAGGAAACTTCTTTCGAAATGTTGGAAGAGGTATATGGAATGGAATAAAATCTGTCGGAAGAGGAATTTGGAACGGAGTCAAAAATATTGGTAAAAGAGTAGGTCAGTTTGTTGGTATTATACCTAAAGACCCTGAACCAGAAGAACAAGCTCCTGTTATACAACAGCCTGAACCTGCACCACAGTCTAGTTGGCAACCAAATCCAACACCTCAACCGTATTAAAAAATTATATTTTTATCGTTCGATAGTAGTTGTATATGAAACTAAGTTCTAAGTAAAACGCATGGTATAATGGAATTATTCTTTTTCTTCCATCTGTAGTAAACCATACTTGAAAGTCTGAAATACTTCCACTTGGTGGTTCGTATAACTTTGTAGGTTTTTCGTAAAAGTCATTTGCCAAGCATAAAAAAGAGTTTTGGGCGCCAGAAAATGAAGCATGAACAATAATAGCAGCTGGGTCGAAAACATCTTTAAATAAATATGGTTCATCTCTTGCATATCGACTGTAAATATTTGCTAAAGGAAGTTCGACTTTCTGATTTAACATTCTTTGCAAATAATACCATGACATTGCAGTGAATTCTGTATATATTTGTTCGTCTTTCTTTGGATTGTCTTCGTAGATTTGAAATGACACTTGTGAATTTTGTTTGTCATATACAATTCTCACATAAAGTGTGCTCTCGGTATTTGCATATTCATCAGCATATTTTGCATAACATGAATTTATTTTATCTTCTATATTTTTTAACGCAGTCTGTAGAGAAGATGAAAGGTCAACTTGTATTAGCTCAATTTCTTCCCACATTTTTCGTTTCCCTTCAGATATATAATCTATATGAAACCTTACAATAAATGGAAAACTTTTATCTTCTACAGACACAAACTTCATTCTACGAAAGCCAATAGCTTTTGTGACGGATGGGTCTCTTAACCATCTCAATGGGTAGTCAAAACGATAGCCTTCATGCTTTACGGTCTCTGTCTCAAACTTTTGACCTACGTTAGTAAAAAGTTCATCTAATGGTTTAGTTGTAGCAACTCTTGAATTTTCTTTTTCTATTGAAAGCATATTTTATCTAGAATAAAAATGTCGAAAGAAACAGCGTCTATGAGAGAAATACAACACAACCGACAACTCATTATGCAAGCTCTAAATAAGAACACAACAAACTTTTCAAACTATTCTAAGATATCTGAGTCATTGAAAGAAGGAAACTTAAAACTGACATTAAACCCAATGACAGATGAGTTTCTATTTCAAGACAATAGGAACCATACTGTCTGTATAAATCCAACAAAAGGAACTTTAAACGAGAAACCTATAGATGAACTTCTTTTGAAAGCAGATATTGACAACAAAGCTGACAAAGAGTATGTCATTGAAAAAGTTCAAGAAGAACATGACAGAGCAGATGCAACATATGCAACAAAAGCAGATGTTGACAACAAAGCTGACAAAACATATGTTAACGATGAGTTAGCATGCGTGGCTAGTGCGTTAGTGAAGAAGGCAGATAAGGAATATGTGGATGAAAAAGACAATGAAATTAAAGAAAGGGTTGAATGGTATAATGAACGGACATCGAAGATTTTAAAAACGAAAGCTGATACAGGATGGGTTTCAGGGTGTTTAGACCTTAAAGCCGACAAAGAAACTGTAGATATGTTGGCACAAACGGTTTCAAGTCATACCAGAGGTTTAATGGAAGATGGACAACAGTTGAAAGAGCTTGAGAAAGGTGTTACAGAGTTAAGGAATACAAAAGCAGACTCGACATGGATAAAAGGATATGTAGATGCAACAAAAGAACGTATTTTCGCATGGACAGAAGGAACATACCCACAAAAATATCATAGACATAGCATCTCTGACGTAAATGAACTTGAAGAAAGGTTATATAAGAAAGCAGACAAAACAGAGCTTCAAACATTAAAGATTGAAATACTTCAAACAGTATATCCTATAGGTTCTATTTATACGTCAATGAACTCTACCAGACCAGAAGTAGTACTTGGTTTTGGAACTTGGACTCAAATAGTCGAAAGGTTTTTGTATTGTGCAAACTCTTCAAAGGTAACAGGTGGAAGTAAAACGATTTCAGGTGAAAACTTACCTGCACACAGTCACTACATAAATTTAACTACAGCTGAAGCAGGTTGGCATAAGCATAGATATTGGGATTGGACAGGAATGACAAAAGGTAAAGG